ATTATTCTCTTTTCTTCAACTTATTGTCATTTTTTTTTTTTTGTTACATTATCATATTTAACTTAATTGAATTTGATTTCATCTTGTTAATAAAAATAAAATGACAGCTTATTATTTATTTTTAAGAGAATTTTACGGTTTTCTAAATCTGCGACCAATTTTTTATAGAATTAATTTAACAACTGTAGATAATTTTTTTCTTAGGAATTTATTTATATTATATTATTTATATTATAATATATTTATATTATTTATCCAAATAAATTATTTATATATTAATTATTTCTATCTTTCTGCATTCTAATCGATTGTAGATGAATTAGTATTATATTGAATTCAATTACTTAATTATTCGCTTATTCATTAGTATGTTCAGAATAATTTTTTTTTTCTAGATTTTTCTTTTAAGATTTTTGTTATAACAATATTCAATAAATATAAATAAATGTTATAAAATATTCAATATTAGATAAACTATTATAATTTACCAATCAAGAATGTAAAAATTTCTTATTCAATACTCTATCAGATTTATCTAATAGATTCATTTAAATAAAAATTCTCTTAATAAATATTTTTCTCTGTTAATTTAATGTATCTGACAAAATCAATTATGAAATCTATATATTTTTTGATAAATAAAAAATAAAATTAAATAATTTTTTCATTCCTTTATATATATATACATATATCATAAATATATTTTTTTTTATCTTCTATACATAAAAAAATCTCTAAATAAACTTTTATACTTGAAATTAATATTTCTCTTCTTAAACTGATTCATCATTAGTTTCAATAATGGAATTATTAGTTTCAATAATCCGAAAAAATAGATAAACTTGAATTTAGACACAATAGATAAACTTGAATTTAGAAAAAATAAACACGAATTTATATAGTTTATCCGGGAATTAAAATCCTAAATATTTAAAGTTTTTTTTAATAAATGAAAATTAATTAATCTTCTAAATTTATTAAAACTATGAAATAACTGGAAAACACTAATTTCATAAAGATCTCTAGTTTGAAATATTCTGTTAATACAAATTTATTTTTGGAAATTAAGAATAAATTTATATATTTCATCCAGTTTTAGTATTAGTAAATATGAAGACAAAAGTTGATTTTTTTTCAAATTAAACACAGAGTCTATCCTTTAGTAATAACAATTCAATAGTCTTTTTGCAATTAATTTTCGTTTTTGATTTTATTTTGATTGGATATTTCTGATATTTGAAAAAATATATACATATATTTATAGTCCTAAATATTTAGAACAAATTTATTTTAAATTATATTTTGCAAAAAATATTTTAATATGATAACATTATCTATATTATTTAATCCTATTCCTGAAATTGATCCTTTAATCATTTTATTCCTTTGGATTGTATCATTATCAGAATATTGTCACTTAAGAATGATTGATCTTAAATGCTTGTTAATATTGCTTGAATAAACGATCTTCTCATCAAAGTCCTGTATTTTAAATTCTAATAATTCTTTTTAATAAGCAGTTAGTTTTACTATTAGTGAATTTTTTTTTTTTTTGATAATTTTCATTTTATGATTTTTATTCTATTTTAGTTTTTCTGATTTATTAGTTTCTTTTATTTTTTCGGATTGATAATTTCCAAATAGTAATTATTATTCTCTTTGATCACATTTAAAATTGATTTTATTTATCTGCTCTTGAAAATATGAATTTTTTTAAATTCAATTTCAATGAAATAAATCTATTATTAATTTAACAACATTTAATTTTAACAAATATTAATTTATCTATGTCGCCATTCAGTACTATAGAAAGAATTAAACTTTTTGTTGATTGTTCAACATGAATCTAATTCTTGCTGAATTACATTTAATGCATCTAAAAAAATAGCATTTAATTCGGTAATTGAATATCTTATAGTTCAAATTTTTTAACTTAAATTTTTTAACATTTTATAACTTAACGATATTTTATAACTTAGTAATTATTTCTTTTTTGTTTCTTTCAAAATTTCATTCACTATCCAATAATTTTATTTTAAATTTATTGATAGATATCAATTTTTAAGATTTTATCTAGCATTTTTGTCATCTATTATGTTGATTATGTTGATCTGATTCAGATTTTATTTCTCGGATAGAATATTTTTTTCCCATCATAAAAATAATGATAATTATTGTTTCTTATGTTATTCATTTACTTGAAATTGATAAAATTTATATTAATCTAATCTTTGTCTCTTGTACAAGATATATTTAGATTCATTTTGCTACTTATGCAAATTCATTGAACATTCTAAATCTGTTTTGTCTTACATGTAAACTCATTATATGTATAATATTATAAGTCTATTTTTTTCATCGTTTCAGAAGGATTTGTCATAATATAAAATTCGCTGTCAATGCATTATTTTACTTTTTTGTTCATCTTATGAACCAAATAAATTCTCCATTTTGTCAAATTATTGATAAAATAAAATATTAGAAAAAAATCGAATTTATGTAATTTATTTAAGCAATAAAACTATGAAAGAAACAATGAGTAAATTATTATTTAACATGAAAAAATAATTAATAATATTAAGAATAATATAAATAAAGCGATAAAGTGAAATTTAAATAGCATTAAAAATTCAACAAAAAAAAAAATAAAAACGAATCAGAATGTAATAAATATTATTTTAATGCAGAAAAAAAACTTTAGAATTTATGATATATTAATAAGAAATTTCAAAACGTCTAGAATTTTGAAAAAAATTAATAGTTAAAAAAAAATAATAATTAATATATAAATAAACATTAATAAATAAAAAAATTAATAATAATTCAAAAGGCCATATGAAGTTGAACAAATTATGTAATTATTGTTATATAATTAAAGATATTGATTTTCAAAAACCCTATTAAAGTATTTGAAAAGTTACGAATATCAAGCCAAAATATTTAATATAATTACAAATTATAAATATAAATTTTGTTAATTCAATTTATTAATTTTAAATATTTTATTATATATAATTAAATTTAATTAAATTTAAATATTTTTATTATATATAATTATATATATTAAATATTTTTATATATAATTTGTGCATTAATTCATCAATATTTTCATATTTTATTTTTAATTTATAATAATTTATCAATATTTTTATATTTTAATTATATTTTGTTTGTATATAAATTTTGTATATTTTATTTTAATGTAAATTTGTATTTTAATAATGTATGTATATAGGATATATAATTTATCAATATCTGTACAAATATTTGTTACAAATTTTTAGAAATGATTATATTTCAAAATAATTAAAAATTATAATATTAAATATTATATCTTTTTTAATTTTTGCTATTGTTAATAATATCTTATTTCTTAATATTTAATGTGGCATTCAATTTTTTAACACAAATTTGAAGATTTTGCGAATTAACGAAAACATATTTATGTAATATTAGAGTTGCAATTAAACTAAAAAGAAGCAATGAATATTCGATACTTGTGATAGTATTTTGATAATATGTAAAAACATATATTATGATAATACGATTCATATTGTTATAAAAAGATTATTATACAATAGTGAACGAATTGTGTTGTATATTTTATTCTAATCATTTGATTTAATAATTTTCATAACAATTGTTTTTTTATTGGGAATTTTTATTATTTTTTTTTTAATAAAATTTATTTTTATATTTTTTCTATAAATAAAAGTTATATAAAGTATATTACATAGAAAAATTTTGAAAAGTATTAAATTGTAATATATCTATTTCTCTATTTTTATTAAAAACATATACATATATACGCAGTTTAAATGTGCACTACTTGTTATGTGATGTTACTAGATATAAATCTATATATATTAATTTATAAAATTTGATTGATTGAATGATTTATTTTATTATATTTTAATAATAAAAAATAAATAATAAATTTATTGTAATAATTTAATTTAATAAATAACTTGTAATAAACATTTTTTTATAAATATTTGAAATTCCGTTAATCATTCTGTACTGTAATAATAATAATGATAATAAAAAAGAAAAAAATATAAAAAATTTTTTTATTTTTCAAAAAAAAAAATGAATCAAAACAATGAAATAAATAACTTTGAAAATGTTCTATATAAACATAAATATTATAAATCTTAAAAAAGTTGCAAATATTTTATTTTTTTTTATTTCTTCTTATTTTAGAAATTAAATTAAAATTATGGAAAAAATTCGGATGATAATCATTTAATTTTTATGAAAAGTAATTTTAGAGGCTGCATTAAAAAAAATTTAAAATTTAATGATATAATGATATAAATGTTAATAATGATAATGATATAAATGTTAATTATAACAATATGATTTTTTATAATAATTGTATATGTAAATTTCTTTTTAGATAATCATATATATAATGAGTCTATAATAAACATACTAAGTATAATTTCGAGCATTATTTCAAATTTCAAATTTTTAGATCTTTTTTTTATTTCTTAAAAATTGTTCTTGACATTTGAAAAACAGATGAAATCCATTTTATTATTTATTAAATATAATAATAATTTTATTTATTATTAACAAAATTATTAACAAAATTTTTCATATTACTGCTAATTCGTCATTGTATTTATTGTTTTTATACTATAATTAAAAATAATATAATACTATAAATCCTTATTCTAAAACGATTATTTTATAATAATTTTTTTTTTTGACTCTTTGAAAATTACAAAATAAATCAGAATAAATAATATTCTATTGAAATATACAGGCACAAAAACTGCAAAAACAAAATAAAAAAAAATATTAATAAATGATAACGGTTAATTTTATCTTTATTTTATTGAAATTTTAATTATTATCAAAAATAGATAAAAACCTTCGTATCTTATATTTCTATTTATCTTATATTTAAAATTAAAAATTATAATTAAAATTTTTAATTATATTTAAAATAAAAACTGAGAAATTTAAACAACAATATATTCTTTTATTTACAGGATGAGGAAAAAAAAACAAAGAGTCATCGAAGACGAAAAAACATCAATTTTGCTATTCGTCACACTGGCTCCTGTTATCTGCTCCGCCGGAGTTTTAGATCCTTGGCAGTGGGCACGTAGTGATCGAATAGAAGTCAACATTCCTTGGTTGCCATGTAATTATATATACTTATACATATTTAAAAATTCAATGTTTGCTATATATCACACACTATTATCATTTTGAATTTAAAAATCCATTTGATGAATATATAAAAAAAAAATATGCAACTAATATAAGTCCTACATTCAATCTTTTCGATATAAAATCAACTATTATCATTTACCAACATTCAATATTGTGAAATAATTCTTTTCATTGACTCTAAACAAAAGAATTGATTCGTTAACTTAACTTAAGGTTGTCAATACAAAATTATTATTAATATGAATAGAGATTATTTTATTAATGCAAACGAAGTAAAAATTGGCAAGATCATATAATAAAATATATATTTGCAATTTCCATGTTCAAATAATAAGCATTGTTAATAATCTGAAAATAATATTTTCTATGTTCAATATTAAATGAATACTGAATATATTATGCTTCATTTGCATTTATAAAATAATCTTTAAATTTTAATATTAAATCTTAATAATAATAATTTTGTGTTGATAACTTTGAGTTAATATATATTCCTAAATCATTCCTTCTCTTTATTATATTTATGTATTGTATTATATTTAATGTATTGGAAAACAATTCACGATATTATAAATAAAATAAAATATATAAAATCGAAAGGATTGATTGAAAACATTATTTGGATGAGTATCATAAGCTTAAAATCTTAAATTCTTTTTTTTAATACTTTCTATTTTAAAATTAAAAGATAAAATTGAAGTTAATATATGTATATAAGTTAATATATATAATATATATAATAGTTAATATATGTTAATATAACATACAATTATAATTTTATTCAAGAAAGAAGTTAACATCATTTATTAATTAAGTTCATTATTTTTTTTCTAAATAATAAATACGAAGAATAATGAAAAACGATTTTACTATTTTTAATAATATAATATATTATTTATATATAACATATATGCTATACTATATAATTATATATACAAAGTATTATTAATATAATCATAAAATATCTTTCTTAAAAGGGTTGATTTTAAAGATATAATAGTATAAAATTGATTATTAAAATATTGATTAATTATATTTATTAAATTATAAGCAATTTAAGATTAGATTAGAAGCGAACTAAAGATAAAATTAAGTGGCAATATAATAAAAATAAATTTATTTCACTTTATCTTTGTTTTGTTTCATACAAGATAATGTAATGCAAATTATTTGTAATAATAAATAAATTTCAACTGCCATTTTGTATAACTTTTATATTTATTTTGTTCTCTAGAATCTTTAAAAATATTTGAAAATATTAACATCAATATTAGCCATTCTCTCACTAATTTCGATGATTATTAAATATTATTCGCGAGCACTTATTATTTGCGAGATTTATAAAATTTATTTGAAGAAATTCTTCGTGTGGAAATGCTTTTTTATTATTATCAATCTCCGTTAAGTCTCCATTAAACAAAGAATGATATTACCTAAGAAAATTACCATTTTTGAAAAAAATAAAAATATACATTTATAATTGTATATTTTTGATACTTTAACTTGGTTAGAACGGAGCCCGATTCCAAAAATGACATAATAATAGATAATAATAACTAACATCATTCTAATTCGAGGAATTTTTTCCAACGTGAGTATCACGAATCAGGTACTAATCTGATTATTAACATGCTCCATTGGGAAACTATAATCCTCCTAATTGAACTGGAAAAGGATTTTCTGAAGGCACGAATTTTATTACTAAAGAAAGTCTCATTATGAATAAATCATATTCTAACTGACGAATATAATAAGTAGTCTCTTTATAATTATGCATCTGACTGTCAGACACGATTACCTACTGTGACATTGTGAGAGACCCAGCTCTTATTATATAAACACGCGTACTGCACTTGTAGCCGTAATTAATATAGTCTATTCATGATGAAGAAAATACATTAATCATAAGCACTAATTTCTTTATACATATATACATTTCAGTCAAAAGAACATTCAACACATGTTTTCATGCAATTATAATCTACCATCCAATTACATCTTACATCCAATTACATCTTACATCCAATTACCATTATTACTACAATATTATTACTATCGAAGCGAACAAATATGTTGTTTGAATTTGAATTGTTTGAAATTGAAATTTTTGACAAATCTTAACAAAAATGTAAAATTTTTTTAATTTATAAGATATTTGCAAAAAATTATTATTATTATTACATTAAATTTCGTTTATATGTTCTTCGCGAAATAAAAATAAAATATAAAATAATGAAATGGCAATAATAGTAATAGTAATATTAATTTATAAAAGTAAGGAAAGATTCTCAATTCGCAAATTTAAAAAATTTTCAAATTTCGAAAACATGCATATATATTAGCCAATTTCTTTATATTGTTCAAATTCTAAAAACAAAATGGATCCCTAAAAATTGAGCTATTTTTCAATTTTAATTTTAATTATATATTTTAATTATATAATTTAATTCATAATATTATTATAATATAAATAGTATTATAATTCACTGTAAGAGTAAAAAGAATTTTCTTTTAACGAAAACTATCATTTGATAAAAAAATTTATTAATTGTTTATATAATTAAAAAAAAGTTATAAAGAAAAAATTTATAATTTTTTATATTTTTTTTTATTATTAAATGATATATTATTTTATAATGTAGATAGATAATAATTATGAGATCAGATTATAATTAGATTATCTAATAATAAAACGCTCCGAGATTCTGCATATTGATGTACTATATTTATTAAGCATTCATTAAATTTCATTCAGTTTTTTTAATTAATTTTTCAGATGTGAAGGATGAAACTATATAAACTACATAAACATGACTGAAATAAAAATTATTATAGACGAAATTATCATTTTGCATATACAATGAAATCCAGAAATTCTTTCAGATTATCACAAAATAAAATACAGTAATATAATACTTGTATTTGAAATAAATAAAAAAATTTGTTTTGTAATATTGTTAATAATTAATATAATTATATTATTATATTATTGAAATTATTGATTAAAATTTCATATAAAAAAATGAATTGGAAAAAAATTATAAATTTTTAATTTTATTATTTTTATGTTTATTATTATTTATTATTATTATTTAATTGTTTATTATTTTTAATTAAATAAACAATTAATAAATGTTATGCTAAACAAAAAAAACAATTTTTATCTTTTAAACTTTGCAAGTTATAACACAAAATCAAAAAATATTTTAATTTTTATAGATTAATTTTATTTCCTAAAAGTAAATTTGAATAGCAAAAAAAAATATATATATATATATATCTACTATATATATACAGCTACATTACATATTCTCAAAATTTCAAAATTTTTAGAATTTGCAAATTAAAATTTTTCTTGTTATTAACATCGATTATTATTCGATCATCCAAAATTGATCCAACAATTGATAAGTAACATTTGCATGTTGATGCATAGATGTATATGCAATTCGTGTTATTTTATTGTACTTGAATGAAGAAATTCATTATATAATCATTATATAATAACGATAGTTTTTTGCAAATATTTCGAAAACTAATTATAAGAGATTCTCATATTTTTGTGAAAGAAGAAATTTGTTAAAAATATCAATTTTATAATATATTTAAAAATCATCGAAATCAATGAGAGAATAATCTTCGTTTAAATAAATTCGTTAATTTTATTATTGTTAAGAACAAATCTAACACTTGTGAAGCGGTCAAACAGCCCAAATTTTATTTTCAATAATTCGATATATAATATCTTTAATAGTTTGATAATAATTTATGTAGATATAGTTCTCTACGTTTTCCACATCTTGAATTTAAATAGATATAGCAATAATGATCATTTCACAAGTCATACTTGTATACTTTGCGACAGACCATCGTGGAAGCGAATAATATAAAAAAATACGTCCTGATCCTTACACGCTGTGACGCGATTTCGCGAGGGCCCATTTTTCAAAACCACTTTTCAACGCGATTGGTTCCTCTAATCCCCTCTTAGTTTGCATATACAATGAAATCGAAATTTCACGAAAAATAATGATTGAAGGGAAAGCCAAGGCTCGCTACAGTTTTCTAGATAAGATCAATTAGAATAGAAATAGAATACAGATCAAATAGAATTCAGCATCAAAATTAGAATTATTATAGTCATCAATCAGCTGCAAACAGTTAAAGTAAATCACCATTCGTTCAATCAAAGCTTATAATATAAACAATTATATAGTCTTACGATACTAGATAATTCGAATAATAGCATCACTACATTTGTGCAATATTCAAAGTCATTTAATTTAGATTTTAACAATTATATTGTTATATTTGTATTTATTATATTTATTCCAAAAGAAATATGACTCACGAAATAAACAATGAAAAGAATGTCTTGAATATTTTATTATATTTTATTATATTTATTATATTTTATTATATTTTTTTTTATGTTCATATATTTTCAAGAAAAACAAAATATTTTGATAGTCAATTATAATGTAGAATCATTTACATTGACAATATGAAATATTATTATATTAAATATACAGGGAGTTTGAGTTATAGAGATGTTTCATTTAACATTTATCATCTTGATTAATATTATGTATTATTATTTAGGAAAAATATTTTATAAATAAAAGTTAGATGATTTCGTATGCAATTCGTGTTATTTTATTGTTTGAAAGAACAAAATTTATCTTCAGTTTTATGTTTCAAAAAGATAATGAAATAAAAGATAATAAGATTAAAAATTAATGATATGAAAAAATTTTCATATTATTAGAGAATTTTATAAAGAATTTCTTTATAAGAATATTTTTATAAAGAATCTCTTATATATAATATTAATAGACAATTGATATAAAATAATTGATATAAAATGATATAATTTTAATTGATCTCTATCAATATAATTGATTTTAATTGACTGCAATAGATCTTTTTTATTCCAAAGCATATAAACATTCGATATCGAATTTTATGAATTTTCAATATCGAAACAATTAACTATTAACTAAAACTGTTAGAAATTACTTCCATTTCTGATCTTATATGATTTTATACGTAATCAAAGCATAGATAATTAAATTTATTTTAACATATTATTTCATGTAATATAAAAAAAAATATTTTATTTAAAAAGTATTTCATTACATTAGTATTTTTCAAAAAAATTGATATTGAAATTGATATATTAAAATTAAAAAAATGTTTTCTATTTTCACGTATACAATTAGCCTCAAAACTAATATTTATCTTTTATAAAAAAAAAATATTTTAATTATTTTAACATAAATTTCTTAAATATCTAAATATTTTTGTAATACAAAAAATAATTGTGATTTTTAATACATTATTTTTTTTTATTAGATAAATTAATCTATATATAATCTGTATTATAATCTGTATTATATTTGTAAAATATAATAAATATGCCGAAAGAAATAAGTTTTAAATTTATTTTTTCATAATTAACAAATTAAAAATATATTAGTGTCTGAATATTTTTGAGACTAAATGTATATAAATATTTCATATTTCAAAAAAAAGTACTTTCGAAAACTTTTTATATAATTTTCAATATAATATATAAATTCTCTATCTATTCTTGAAAAAAAACTTTTACTATAATAATTTTTATTATCTTATTAGTCGAGAATGAGACACGATGCTACAATGAACTAGGCTGTTTAAACATAACCAGAAACTGGTACCATCTGATACATAGACCACTTAATGTCTTCCCTCTACCACGAGAAGTCATCAATACAAGATTTATTCTATATACGAACGAAAATCTCATCGAGGTAACTATAATTATCTTATTTTATTTTAATATTTTAATATAATATTTTTAATATTTTAATATTTTATCAATTAAATATATAGTTTAATACGTTTAATATGTATTTGATTTTATCTACGAACCTAAATATGATTTAGATTATAATTATATTATAATCTAATTATATTATATTAATATTATTAATATTATATTAAAATTAGATTATAAATATTTAAATAAATTTTAAATAATAATCAAAAATACCAAAACCACATTCAATTTTGCTGATATTTTTCAATTTATTTATATTATAAAAAAAGATTTAAAAGAAAATTTAATCATAACATGCATGATTTCTTAGCATAGATCAAATCTTTTTGCTAAAAAATAAGTTATATCTTAGATAATTAGATCATAAAAAATTTCATTAAAAAATTAATTTAAAAATTAATTAAGAAAAGATGAAAAATTATTTTGTTTTCAATTTAAAAGCAAAATAGTTTGATGCAATGAAAGTTCTAGAGAACAGTGAACGATAAAAAATAATATAACAAATGAAAAAAACAGATATGATATTGACTATGACGTGTATTATAAAAATATTAAACAAAAAAATTCGCTACAAAGTTATTTATAAAGTTAAATACAACGGTAATAATATATAAATTAGTAAACTTAAAAAAAAATATACATCGCTACAAATGAAGCGATAATAATTATAATGATATTAATCAGAATAGTGCAATCAGCTTATTAAAGAATTATTTTTATTTTTACATTATATTTTTATATTAAGAATTATTTTTATTTTTATCATATGTCGTTGTATCAAGAACTATATAATAATAATTTTTATAAATAAATAAAATTTTATGAATGAGGCTTGCAGCTAACATAATTTTATTTAATATTATTCACCAATGAATCAATTTTTACAAACTATGGTAATATCAATAGAAACATGTACTACATGTATGTACTACATATATATATACACTAGTTATACATGTATAGTTATTTGCAAAAAAACTGTGATGACTTCAACAATAAAGCAAAAGATTACAAATATATGGCATAGAATCATAATTGGTTCTTTATGAAATGTTAATTACAAAAATACATAGATTTTCTAAAAGATAAGTTATATCTTAGATAATTAGATCATAAAAAATTTTATTAAAAAATTGATTTAGAATATGATATTATAAAAACAGTTGTCTTGCAAATTGATTATACATGAATTTTGAAAGAAATTCTTAATGAATTATTTCTAAATCACTAAATTCATGGAAATAGTGGAAATAATTAATATTGGAATTAATTAAATTAATTTATAATTGTATTTAATTAATTAAATTAATAGTGGAATTAATCTGGAAATATTGATTAGTCCTCGTTCATCAGAGTTAAATATAGATTTTTTTTTATAAGAAAAAATAAAAAATATTGTATATAATGTCAATAAGCATCAATTATTTCAGAGGACACGCGATAATATTATAATATTAAAATAGCTTGTATGAAAAATTACAATATGTTATATGTTATATGTTCATTAAAACAGATTTAAAAAAATATCAGTATAAATTAAAAATTAGTATAATTTTAAATATATTTAACCTAAAACATTAAAGTAAACATTAAAAGTAAATAAAGTTATTCTTTATAAGTTTTTCTAAATTTTTCGTTTTAAAATTCAAAATCAACTGAAAATTATAAAAGATATAATATATATAATATAAGCTAAATTTTTTTTAACTATATAAATTTTTTTAACTATAATAATAGAAAAAAATAGAAAAAAGTAGAAAAAAATATATTATATCATTTAAAAAATCTAAGATCTTAATCTAATATCTTATATTTTATGTTAAAAAGTGTTAGAAGATATTAAAAAATCAAATATATTTACCTAATCAAATCTTTCAAATACAATAAATTTTATTCTAAATGTTTCATGATAAAATCAAATAATAAGTTATTTATATTTCAGATAGTCATTCTTATTGGCTCTTATAAATTATTGTATATACATTTATAGAATATCTTTGAAAGTTTTTTTTTTTTATTTCAGAAATCAAACAAATTCAAAAATATGATTTGAGACTTATTTTCTTATTATATTATATATTATTAAATATAATATTATTATATTTCTTATTTTATTATATTCTAAACTATAATTAAAGTAATTAGACGAATAATAATAAAATACAGATAAATCGAAACAATTCTTTCATATATTTCACGCTTTTTTTATTTTATTTTATCTAATATAAATTTAAATTGTTTAATAAATAAATAATTTAATTTAATAAATAAATCTCAATCAACTTTTTTAAAATCAATCCTCTAAAAATATTCCACAAATATATATTATAATATTCTGTTGGAAAACTTAATTTATTAGTTTAAATTATATTAGTTATATTATATTAATTAATTATATTAGTTAATAATAATTTATTCTAATATTAATATAATATTTTAATTATATATATAATAATTAATTATGATAATTATAATAATTAATCATTATATATAATAATATATTATATTTATATATAATTATATAATTATACTATAATTATTATAATTAATTATATATATATTAATTAATTTTATATTAATTGAAAGTTAAGCAAATTTTATTCGAATAACGAATATATAAATTCCTAAGATTTTACGAATAATGAATGATAATATTATTTCACAAAAAATTATTCTCGTTATTACTCATAAATAAATCTTTATTTATTATCAATTTAAGGTATTATTATTGATTAATTGTTTTTTATAATTTCATGAATTAAAATTCAATAGATATGGTATATTTATAGAAATAATAGATAAGTAGCGATTGCATGCTTATACATGAATGTGCTATGTATAAGAAATTCTACGTAAGCTTTTCTTAATGAAAAAAGATCCCCAATCCGAAAAATCAAAAATTTATCAAAAATTTATGAAACTTGGAAATATATATGTTTATATATATAAGTATGTATTACATAATTTTTTTTTTTTTTTTGCTATAAAATCACTTTAAAGAAATGAAATCAATTCTTGAAAATTTAGTTATTTTCGATTTTTACGTTATAACTCGTCAATTATAAAAAACAGAAAAAGTTTTCAGACAAAAATTATTTTTTTTATAAAAACTATGGTCTGATAAAACATTTATTAATTGTTTAATTATAATAATTAAAAATAAATTATAAACAAAAAAATTATTAATTTTTTAAATTTGTTTTTCCACGTTTTTCCATTAAAAGTTTTAATCAGCAGCTTAAATAATTATACAATATTATAAAAAAATAAAATAAGTATTTTTTGTTTTTAATAAATAGTTTTGTTATATACTTTTATCTTTTATTGCATTATTTAACATGTATCAACGTACCAAATGAGAATAGAGAGAATAAAAAAAAAGAAATTTATATATATCATTATTTTATAAGACTTTTTTATTTTTAATATAGTTGTCAAACTTCTTTATTTTTTATCGAATAATTTATGTATCGGATAATAAACGGATTCAATATTCAAGCATAAGTGAATAACGGACTATATAATGATTTTTTAAAAAATATTATAAACATACAAACTTGTTACACCATGCACATTATATAATAACATAATTGCTATTTAGAAAATGAAACGATCATACAAAATTTTGTTGCAAAAAATCGAATTCTACTGAATTTTCAAAATTATTTGGTTTTTTATTAATATATCCACGTTTATATATATATATATATATATGTATATAAGATTTTAGCTACTTATAATAAACATTTTGATTAAATTATCGACATTAAATAATCAAATATTTAATTAATTAAGTAATTATTAATTAATTAAGTAAATATTATAATATAACAAATACTAATTAATTAAGTAAAAAATTAATTAAGTAATTAAATTAATTTTAGCAATTTAATTAAATCCACGTTATACCAAAGATTACTTAAAAATATTATATATTATTAGGAATATTTAATATTGAGAAAATTTATTATTTATCGAAAATTTCAATTATTTATCGAATTATTTTTTAATTAAACATTGAGAATTATTTTTTTTAATATATTTTTAATATATATTTTTTTAATATATTATTCATCATTATTATTAATTATATTATTTATTATATAGAATTATATAATTATATAATTCTTACGCAAAATACAATATTTTAAAATGTTAAAAATAAAAAAATATAAATATTTACTATACTAAATTCTATTTATATCATACAATTTATAAATAAAACTTTAATTTAATAAAATTATAACAAATATTTATTTTTAAACATTTATTTTATTAATTTTTTTAAATATGTTAAAAAATTTCTTAATACAATATTTCTTATGTTTTTTTATAGGGTCAGGTGTTGACAGTTGCGAAAGATAAATTGATTAAACGATCAAACTTCAATTCTAAAAGAAAAACAAAATTCATTATACATGGATTCATAGATACTCCCCTGAGCAACTGGGTTAAGGTAAGCCCATGATACATGATTAATTATAACTAATAATGATTAAATTGAAATTAAGAATTTCATGATAAATTTTATAATTTTTTTCTTAAAAATTATACTAATAGATTTTGAAAAATAAATGTTAAAATAAAAGTTAATTATTCAGAATATTAATTCATATGAAATATATAGGAAATGAGAAATGAATTGTTAAAACATGATGACTACAATGTCATCATAGTTGACTGGGCTGGAGGGAGTTTACCACTTTATACTCAAGCAACTGCTAATACCAGATTGGTGGGCCTTGAAATAGCTCATCTTATTAAACATTTACAGGTATAATAAATTTCTAAGCAAAAAAGCTAGTTATTTTTAAAAAATTAAAAAAGTTTTTATTTATGAAAAATTTATTAATAAACAATATTATAAAACATTGTGACTTAATTTCATTCTAAAACAAACTTTTAGATCACTTAGATTCATTTTTAGGTACAAATATCTCAAAAGCAGAGCATGAAGAAATGTCAAATTCTTGACTTGAATGATGAAGAAATTAAAAGTATGTTTAAATCTATAAATTAAATCTATAAATCTTTTCTTTCACTGCTTTTCATATGGTGATTATTATTATTTTATTTATTTTATATTATTTATGATTTTAATTTAATTTATCTTAAGCATGTACATATCTATGGAAAAATACATAGAAAATAAATAAAAAATTTAAAAAATATGTATATAAAAATTAATCATATGAAAATATATAATTCTATAATTATTTTATAGATTAACAATTCTTTAAATAATTAATATGTAATATATATGTGTATAATATACATGTATAATATTATAATATATAATGTATAATATACATTAATATTATATATATATAATATACATATAATGCATAAATAATATTTCTACAGAAGAAACGATTAAAAAATTGAAGTATTGTTTGTTAAAATATAGACAAATTATGGACTGGATCTAAATGATGTGCATCTAATTGGACATAGCTTGGGAGCTCATACTGCAGGATATGCTGGAGAAAAAATGGGAGGAAGTATTGGTCGTATTACTGGATTAGATCCTGCAGAACCTTATTTTCAAGGAATGCCTAATCATTTACGATTAGATTACACTGATGCCAAGTTGGTTGATGTCATTCATACTGATGGCAAAAGCATCTTTTTTTTAGGTAACAAAAAAAATGTATAAATTAATAAAAAAAGACACCATTCTTGAATACTAATAATAGTGTATATCTTCTTTTCATAGGATTTTTCACGCAACTGAATAGATTTATATCTTTTATATGCAGAATAATCAAAATAATCGATTTATATAAAGATTATATTTAACAAAAAGTAAACAGTGATTTTGCATTAAAAAAGATACAATGCATTTTGCAATTAATATATAAGAATGCAGAAAACTACAAAAATATAAAATATATATTATTTAATATTTTTTTGTAATATTTTTTTAATTTTTTATCTCTAAAAATATAATCTTATCAGTTGCATGGAGTATCTTATAATAAATATATCAAGTATTTTATCTCAAAAATTAGTTTTAAGCATCTATTTATCATTTTAAACTTATATTTTAAGAGATTTATTAAGATTCAAAATAAATATTAGATCATTAATATTTCTTATTAACTTGTAATACAATATAAATAGAAATAATTTAAAATTTGATTTTTATTCTTATGATAATTCGAGAAATATTCATTTTCTATTATTATTATTTATAATTTAGAAACATTGATTTTAGAATTTATTTTTAATTTCTTATTAAAAAATGCAATTTAATTAATTTCTAAATAAAATAATACAACTCAAAGTATCAATTTTTTATTCTTTTAATTATTATTTTTAAATTTTTTAATATTTATTAACATTTATTTAAAATTCTGTAAATCTATCATAATAAAATAATCATCATACGAGTTATAAGTTAATTTTTCATATGCTATCTTCTATTATTAAGATTTTCAAAATTTTTAAAATTAACTTAATATTAAATTAACTTAATATTAAAAACTTAAATATTAAATTAATATTTGTTTAATATTTTTTTAATTTTGTTATTAAGAAAATCCAAGTTAACAATTTACTGCTTTTGAAAAAAAAACACATATTTATTATAACAACATATTTGTTAAACAAAACATAATAAGAAAAAATAAAATATATATACTTCTTATAATAATTAATATTATTTAAATATATATATTATTAGATAATTTATTATATTAAATTATTAATTATTAATATTAAAATATATTAATTTAAAAATTATTTAATAATTTATTTTTAATATACCATTTTATAAATTACTTTCTTTTTTCAAACTATATTTATTTTAATTATTAAATCTTAATTAATAATAAACTAATTTAGTATATAATAAGGACTTCCAGGATACGGAATGAGCCAGCCATGTGGTCATTTAGATTTTTATCCAAACAATGGCAAAGAACAACCAGGATGTGCAGATCTAAGTGAAACAACTCCTTCTTTACCTTTAACTCTCATTAAAGAAGGTTTGGAGGAGGCATCACGAGTGCTGGTAGCTTGTAACCATGTGCGTGCCATAAAACTCTTCATTGAGAGCATTAATTCCAAGTGCCAGTATGTGGCCCATGAATGCTCCAGTTATGCCAGCTTCCTCAGAGGCGAATGTTTCTCATGCAAGAGTAACAATAGTCTTAGTTGTGGTATTATGGGCTATCATGCAGACACTAGTCCAGCCTTGATAGGAAGACAAGTAATGGGACAAGATCTTCTATCTTTGTTAGGCTCCAAATTTTTCTTTACCACAGGCAAAGAGGATCCCTATTGTAGTGAGTGTTAAAAATATTATAATTTTAAATTTTAGGATTTTTATAATATTTATAAAGATTTAATTAATTATATTAATTATTAAAATTGTATAATATATTTTTGATAAATTTAAAAAAAAATCATTATAATATTTCACAAAATAAAAATAAAAAGAAAGAAATCTACTTTTAGGAAAAATTGAAATAAAAATAATAGATAATATATAATAGATAATAATAATAGTATAATAGTATAATAGTAGATAATTTAAAAGAAAATATTATAATAAAACATCAATAATTAATATATTAATTTTGATGAAAATTTTGCATTTATTATTTTACTAAATTAAAAATGAAAATAACATTAATTTTATACTATTTATCTACCACTTATAAATCATAAAAAAAGAAAATAAAAAATGATTTGAATAAGCTATATTATACTCATATAAACTTAAAGGATTAAAAAATTTTACTTGAAAAATTTTCGATTTTTAAATTACTATAATAATATTTGTATGAAAGAAATCGTACAACTATCTATTTGAAATTATTTTAAAAAATAAATTTCTATTTTCTTCTCTAAATTCTTCATCACTACATTAAATTTTTTTAATCATTCTGAAATTGGATAACAATAATAATAATGTTTTTTTCGAAAATTTTCGGAATTTACACAGTTTTACAAAATTTTATAATAAAAATTGAATTTATAAATTGATATATAATTTTTTCATTGTTTTATTGCACTTTTTATCTATTTATATTTAAATATTTTTCTTCTTCCTTTAAATATTTATCTTATATATTACAATACTTAATTCTTACACGTTATATTGCAAATTTTTGGAATTATATTATATATTGTAAATAATAAAATAATACATAATAATTTCAAATCCTCATAAATTCATTGTTATTAAATATCGAAGCGTAATTATCAAATGATCTTCAACAATATTTTTCTTCTGAATATAAATATAATTGAATTAAATTAAAACAAAATCAAATTGTTATAGATAATAGTTTAATAAATATCTTATTTTATTATAATTTTTTCAATCATGGTACATGAGAAAACATATTTTTTTGAATGAATTATAATTTTTTGAATGAATATAAAATATAATTTTTTAAAGCATTTTATTTTGTGTGATATTTCTTTCTTTTATATGCATAAGTTAATTTCTATATCAATACAATTCTTTTTTATTTTAAAAGATGCTGAAAAATTATTCTTTATTTTATAATATTATTTTGAAATAAATATATACTATCATTTACATTATGAAAGATGAGTAGAAATTATAATATATAAATCATACTCATATTTTTTTATCTTGTTTTGAATTAACGAATGAATCTATAGCGAAGAAATTTAAAATAAAATTTGAATAATTCCAAGTAGTTTCAAAGTCATTTCTAAGGCATATTTCAAAATAAATCGTATATAGTATGTTTTACATTCAATTACAGAGAAATTAATTATTTTTCTTTTGAGATAAAATAAGTTAAAATATTTTTTTGAAAACAAATAATATAGAAATAATTGCATAAATAAATCATCTTATAACTGTGTCTTTCTTTAAATATTTATTTCAAGATTTTTTAAAACGGTTTTAGAAATTTGAAGTAGTATTACAATTGTNATATATAATATACTATAACAATGTAATATAATAATATAAATAATAATATATAAATAAAATTAATATATATATATAATATACTATATAATATTATTATATATACTATATACTATATAATATATATTATATATTAATATTATATAGTATATATTATATATAATTATTCAATATGAATAAGAAAAAATTAAAAATTTTGTCCTTTATAACATATTTCAAAATCACCAAAATCGATAAAAAATTCTCTTTTTTAAATAATTATTATTTTATTTAATATCATTATTCAAATTATATATTAAAGATTCTAATTTCATTAAATAATTTATTTTGTTTTTTTATAAAAAATTAAATATTATTTTAAAATTATAAAAAAATCTTATCCAACTATTAAAATACCATTGTAAAATGAATCATTATCATTGCATGTTTTTAATTGATTCTTATGAAAAGTATAGTTAAATGAATTAAATTGTATTTATAAACTTTTTTTATAACAAAATTCTATTCATTCCATTTCATATATAATTAATATCAATTGTATATATAATGGCTCCAAAATGGCATTTTTAAAATATTCTTAAAATTGGATTTAATTTGAATTGTTTTGAAAAGAATGTTAAAAATTAGAATAATTAATTTATCATATTATTATACTATTAGATAATATAATAAATTAAAAAAAATAAAAAAAATCTTGAGAAAATTGCAATTTATTAGAATCACGAAGAAAATAGTGAAGATTGTTTACAATTTTTTTATTTAAGTCTGAAATAAATAATGAAAATTTAAAAACAAACATTCTGAAGATTTATATTAAATATATATATGATAAAAATTTTATTGAAATTGATTATCACAGGAACAAGAAATAAATATTAAAAAATTTTTAGATTTTAAATTGAAAATGATGAAAAATAGCGATTTTCATTATCTTTAACTAGTTGTACCTTAACCATTAACCGATTTCGATGAAATTTTTAGCACATATATAACTAACATCAAATTTATAAAATGTATTTTATTTTAATTAAATTTAATTAAAATTAAAAAAAATTAAAAATTTTCATTAAAAAAAAAAATTTTAAAAAGTGTCAATTTTGATCAATAACTGATCAATAGATTTTTTTTAAATTTTTATTATTATTATTATTATTATTTTATTTTTTATATATTATTTAATAAATTAATATTTTGAAAATAATTAATATTTTCAAAATAATTCAAGTTGTTAAATTCAATTTTAAAAAAGTTATTGTATTTTAAAAAATGTACCAATATTTTTAAACTCATTATACATTTATAAAAATCAAACAGCGAGAGATTTCATGAGATTCAGAATCATAATTTTAATTTATATTCTTATTAAATTTATTGTCGGCAATTTTTATTGAATTAAGACAACTGACGAAACATAGAAATGAATAATGACATTCTAGTAGTTATATGAATTACTCGTTCGCAATAGATTGAATACAATGATAATATTACAAAATTTAATATTAAATTGAATAAATATTTTATAGTCAGAAATATGTAGAAACTGGAAAAAACTGGAAAAATATTAATATATTTTTAATAAAAAATTGTAAATTAAAAGAAATTAAATATTTTAATAATATATAATATATATATAATAATAATATATTATAAAATATTTTAATAATCTTTTTGCATATTTACATTCAACATTCTATTTTTTAACAAAAACATGATATGCATTTTTTAAATTTAAATAAAAAATATTTTTAAAAAATGTTATTTCATAAATGATGAAAAATGTCTTAAATTTTTCATTTGTTGATACATAATTATACGAAATATAAAAAAAATAAAACAAAAATTTTAATTTTTACAAATTTTATAATAAAATTTTTGTTTGAATGTTTATACTAATATATTATAAAGGGTGTCAAAATTCACGCAAGAAATAATTTTGATAGAAAATATAGCTTTACTATTAATTAAAAATTGTAAATTTTTTATTGATTCATAAAATATATAGTATAAGGTTCTGAAATAGTTTATCTGGTAAATGGTCTCCACAGCTTTGCTAGCACGCATTCTTTTATTGAAATTTTCCGTATTGAAATGACTGTTTTGCATATGTGGCTGATGTGGCTGAATTTCGTTGATATAGCGCTCAATTTTTTCTTTCAAGGCGTGAGTAGTCATGAACTTATCGGCATAAATCTTAAATTTCAAAAAACCCCAAAGAAAAAAGTCCAACAGCATTAAATCACACGGTCTGGGCGGCCAATTTTGATCACCAAAATTGATCCATATCCATATCTTACAATTTAGATACAAAAAATTGGATTATCATGTTGCGATAGCGAGCATCATTAACTGTTATTGACCAGCCGAATTTTCGAAGAAGAATGGTCCGATGATGCCTCCAGCCCAAAATTCGCACCAAACAATGACACGTTGTGGATGCATTTATTTATCAACAATCACTCGTAGATTTTTTGAACCAAAAGCAACAATTTTGTCGATTAATCAATCAATAAAATGAAAATAAGCCTCATTGCTAAAGATGATTTTATTCAAAAAACCTTCATTATTTTTAAAATGTCATTCAATAATAAAAACGCGTTGCTCATTCATGTAGCGCTTTATTTTTAATAATCCTGAATTGTCAGCTGTCACGCTATCTTTTTTTTTTTTTTTTTTTTCGTTAACAATACTTTATCGCACAAATGGGGCAAAATTCAAATCTTACGTGAATTTTGGAACATCCTTTATGTGACACTATTTGAATTGAATTCAACATTGAATCCAATGTTTATTTGGTTTAAATATAAACTATTAGAAAATAGGTTATGAAATGATTTGATTAAAATAAAGAATATAGAAAAAAATAAGAAATATATTATATAATATATTTAATAAAAAAAATAGAAATAAAAAAAAATAAAATCATGCTGATGTTTTTGTTTTACTAAGCTGAGCTTACTATATCGCGTCGCATGGCACGCTATAGCAATTTAAAGGAGAAAAAAGGAGAAGAGATAAAATAGAATTGAAACAGCGATATCTAATTCACACATAAATATACAAGATATGAGTTGCACTTTTGCATATATAAACTCAACATAAAGACTTACAATAAATGCAAATTATATATATTTTCTTTATGCTTTCAATATCTGTATCATTCTCACAATCCATAACATTAATATTAATATATATATACAACAAAAACATTAAAGTTTGCTAAAGTTAATAAATATTCTAAATAATTTTTTTCTTCGTTAAATAAATAAATAAACAATAAATACTTATTGTAATATTATGAAATTTGAATAAACAATTGTATTTTTATTATTTTTATATTTAATTATAAATCTATATAATGTCATTTTATCAATT